TGTTTAGAGTTGAGAGCCCACCACTGTGGGGAGAGAGCAGGTGTGGCTTACCTCTGGGGAGACTTGGAAAAGCTCCTGGAGGGGCTCCATAGCAGAGCAGATGCAGGGCAGAGTACAATCAAGGGAGCCACGTAGGCTTGATAACATTTGCCAGCTCTCAGCAGTGGATTACGTATCTTAGGGCAGGTGTTTGGCACAGGGGTGAGGTCATTGCTTGGGACACACAAATTCCTTATCAGAGTACGTGGTTCAACTTTTGACTCCTCTGCTTCTGGTCCAGCTTCCAGCTAGCATGCATCTTGGGAGGCAACAGGTGATGGATCAAATACTTAGGTTTCTGCCAGCCACATGGGAGTGCTGGATTGAGTTTCTGGCTCCTGGCTTTGACTTGACCCAGCTCTCATTGCATCAGGCATTTGGAGGGTGAAGCAGCAGATGGAAGATCTGTCTCTTTGTTTTTTAATGAAAATGGAATAGATGAGACCAAGATGCGTCCTCAAAAAGAATGTTTGGATTCCAGGGATAGAATGCTTACAAATCCTTCTCCCAGAACAAGGATATTTTAAGAAGAAAGAAAGAAATGAAAATAAATGTGGGGATAGGGATGAAGCCAGGAAGGCCTCCTCTAGAGGTCCATGGATATAAAATTAAACATATATTTATTTATTTAGGACCTGGCATGGTAGCCTAGTGGCTAATGTCTTCACCTCGTATGCACTGGGATTCCAAATGGGCACCAGTTTATGTCCTGGCTGCTCCATTTCCCATCCAGCTCCCTGCTTGGGTCTGGGAAAGCAACCGAACATGACCTAGGGCCTTGGGACCCTGCATCCACATGGGAGATCTGGAAGAAGCTCCTGTTTCCTGGGTTTGTATTAGCTTAACTCTGGCTGTTGTGGCCACTTCGGGAGTGAATTAGCAGACAGAAGATCTTTCTCTCTGTCTTCTCTCTGTGTATCTGCCTTTGTAATAGAGAGAGAGAAAGAGGAAGAGAGCGAGCGAAAGAGAAAAGAAAAAGGAGGAGAAGGAGGAGAAGAAGAAGAAGAGGAGGAGGAGGAGAAAGCAGAAGGGAGAGCACCAGAGAGATTCCTATCCACGGATTTATTCTCCAAATATTCTCATTGGCCAAGAGCAGGATCAGCCAAAGCGGGGAGCTGGCAATTCAGTCGAGGATCCCCACACACGGAAGGGACACAAATCCTTAAGCCATCACCACTGCCTCCCAGGGTTTCCATCAGCAGGAAACTGGAGTCAGGAGCAGAGAGAGTATTGAACCTAGATATTCTGATACAGGGGGTGGGTATCTCAGCTGGTAGGCTCAACACCTGTTTTCCAACCCCTTTTTAAAAATCAGTGTTTTAACACCATTCACAAGCAACATCTTGATGATACTCCCCTCTTCCCTGCTCACACATGCCAGGAAGACAAGATGGGAAAGGGCCAGTTGCAGCAAGGCCAGAATCTTGGGGAGATGCGCACAGAGTGGGAGAAAGTCTCTTACAAATTCTGCTGCCTTCACACTATTCTAAGGATGTGTTTTGTTTCATGGTGAATCACTCCTATGAATGGAAAGAGAAGAAGCCAAAAAGCATGGCAGGCAGGACAGGAGTCAGGCGTGACATTTATTGAACATTCACAGTGTGTAAAGTACCGGGCAAAGCACAGCAAGGGAATACAGTGGAGGTTCAACAGCTATCATCACTCAACCCCTTGAAGACAACACTTCATGTGCGTGGAGAAGGCACCTGCTAAGTAGACAAAGACATGTGTCACAAAACCCGAGTAGTACACACTCTCTCTCTCCCCAGATTTGTTAATGAGAGATTGTCTAAGTGACAGGAGCACAGGGAGCCAAGAAAATACAGAGTTTAAGTAAAGAACAAAATGCATTTCTCCATCCCAATGCGCAAGATCGCACTTAACACTCTGGTGACAAGCAGAAAACACTAGAAAATTATAGAAAATCGATGTTTTTTTTTTCCCCCCTTAACTCTACTGTCTCCCCTCATTCCAAATACAAATTATAAACCTACTTTGACATAAGATGAAGGCAGTTAACCCAGCAAAGTATGAGAATAGTGTTAACATGAGGGAATTTTCCCCAATCAGTAAAAATCAGGCCTTTCCAAAGGTCACATGTATACTGTACAAGTTTATAGCTTTCTCCTTCTTTTTAAAGCTTTCAGGATGCTGAAGATTTTGCAATGAATTTAGCAAATTTTAATTGTTCTATATCTGGAAAATATTATTTATATTTTTACACATTTTAAAACATTTTAAGATAGTGTATAGCCAGATAAAATACAGGATGTAGGGCCCGGCGCGGTGGCGCAAGTGGTTAAAGGTCCTCCCCTTGCACGCCCGGGATCCCATATGGGCGCCGGTTCTAATCCCGGCAGCCCCACTTCCCTTCCAGCTCCCTGCCTGTGGCCTGGGAAAGCAGTCGAGGACAGCCCAAAGCTTTGGGAACCTGCACCCGCGTGGGAGACCCAGAAGAGGCTCCTGGCTTCGGATCGGCATAGTATCGGCCCGTTGCGCTCACTTGGGGAGTGAATCATCGGACGGAAGATCTTCCTCTCTGTCTCTCCTCTCTGTATATCCGCCTTTCCAATGAAAAAATAATAAAAATAAATCTTTAAAAAAAAAATACAGGATGTATTTTAGTGTATGCGACATGGCCATAGGAAAACTATCCATTGTTAATTGGAAATTACAAAGCATTTGGGCATGTATATTTTGATCCTTTAAATCTTTATTTGTAGGCTTGGATTTTCCAGCAGTTCCTAATAATGGGAGGCTTAATCCATCTTCATTTGTAAGCTAACACTGTCAGAAGGGGACATTTATTCCTTTGTCAGGAACACTACAGATGGCATAGGGCTCACTCAAAAACTGGAGACATTTGTAATTCTTATCCTCACAATTTTAGCAGTACAGATTACCATTGGTTAGATTTTATAAAAAAGATATATTTTATTTTTATTGGAAAGGTAGATATACAGAGAGAAGGAGAGACAGAGAGAAAGAGCTTCCATTTGCTCGTTTTCTCCCCAAGTGGCCACAATGGCCGGAGCTCAGCCATTCTGAAACCAAAGCCAGGAGCTTCTTCTGGGTCTCCCACGTAGGTGTGGGGTCCCAAGGCATTGGGCCATTCTTGACTGCTCTCCCAGGCCACAGTCAGGGAGCTGGATGGGAAATGGAGCAGCTAGGACATGAACCGGTACCCATATGGGATCCTGGGAGTGCAAGGCAAGGATTTAGTTACTAGGCTATCATGCCATGCCCTATTGGTTAGATTTCTACCTTATGATCTTTCTGGGATGGCCAGTGATAGATTACACAATAAGATTGCTGACTGGGGACGACCTAACCTAAAAAAATCCTGTATAATAAATACGCACCTCCACCCCAGTATTTCCTCTCCATACAGGACCAATTTCCCTGAACACGTGTGATGCTCATGCCTTACTACATTCCACAACACCAGTGGCCTTCTTTGCAATCACTTCCTGTCACTCCCCACCTTTTTCCTCCACATTCATGACATTGGACCACCGGGGTCGATGGCCCTTGGGTACCACAAGGAACATGGGCCTTGAACCATAGAGATCCGTGGCGTGATTACAAGAAGATAAGGGCACATCTTACGTGCATACAGACAGGAAGGCGAAGACTGTTCATTCCCACACGAGCATGTAAGTGTGCTTCTATCAAAGTGCCCAAGTTACCTTACTTAAATGGACAGGACTATGCTGTTGTAAGAAAAAACAAAAGAAGCAGAGGCACACATGCTGGCTGAATGCATGAATACATACTATTCTAGAAAAGCACTTTCTGGTAGCTGAAAGTAAAGCTTACCTTTACTCATCTTAAACAGAGATTCCTACATTTTGGACAGAGATATCTGCACCAGTTTTGCAAGGAAGCGAAGTTCCCATAAGACATCAATTGCGGTAGAAGAATGTAAAATGACATTAGTTGCTGAATTTTAATATCCATTAAATACTTTTAAAAAACACACACAAAGAGCTTCCTTACATGCAAAGAACATGGCTACACGTTTGGTTCACACATACACATTAGCTGAGTGGTCGTGAGGAAACAGTGTACTGAAAAGCAAAGGCATTTAAAAGCATCAGCATTCAAAGGTGTCTGAGTCCTAGGGTGCCAGCTTTGATTCCTATGCTTCTACTTTTGGCAGGGCACACGCTTGCTCTTTCTACCTGGAGATCTTTCTGGAAAGGAAGTACAATTAACAATGAGACATTACATAGAGGCAAAGGAGTCAAGAGCTGTGAAACCACCATATGAATGAAAGTAAAGCAATAGATATTATTATTAAAGTAGAAACAAATATTTCCATGCCCCCTGCCCTCAACACTCCTCAGAGCCAGAGAACTTTCCACTCCGATCCACATCTCCTCTTGAGAAACAAAATGCCACTTTCTGCCTTGCGGACAACGTTCCTTTGGCTTTTTTTGATGTCGATACTTCTTTTGTCTTTGCCCCTGGAGGGTTTCAAGAAAACTGGGCCTGACAATGGCCACTGGGAGTTTGCATCTTGCTCCACTTGTGGCAGACATGAGGGTGGTACAGCGTGAAGCTGAAGGAGCCACTGACTCCCCGTGGGCCATGCAGCATCTACAATAGCACGTGAGTAGACGCAGCAGACCATACAAGTGTGTGCCTGTGTGGTGTGCAAGCCTGCCTTGGCTTTTCCAGAACCTTCCAAAAGACCCAGTAGGTCCACATCTCTATTTTTTTTTTCAGCTTGAGCCTATGGGGTGCCTGCTCTCAGGGCCTACTTTGGCTGATAGCTTGACAGTGACTGCAAAGTGCTGGCTGTGAGCTGGCTGGGTACCAAGCCCTGGCCTCACCCCGGCTGGATGGTGAAGGACAAGTACACATTGAAAGGTTCCCGCTGGACACACAACGCCCCTGCTCCTCTGCCTCTTCCACTTCCTGTGGCTCCGTCCGTCTGCAGGGGCAGCCGCACCTGCTCATGAGGGACGTCCGGTGAGAGACGCCCTGGAGAATGATGCCCTGGTGGTTTGGCCTTCTTCCTCCTCTGCTGCCTCTCCCCTCGGCCCCTGGGGCCTGGGGTTAGGGCAGCAGGTGAAGGTGGCCATGAAGCCGAGACGGAAGCGCCTGTTCATGAAGCAGTAGATGATGGGGTTGACGCAGGAGGAGGTGTAGGAGAGCAGGAGAATAAAGGAGATGGGTGTCCCGGACAGGTGGCGCTCAGCCGAGACTGTGTCATAGGCCCGCCAGGCGTTGGCACTGAAGATGGGCATCCAGCAGAGGAAGAAGAGGATGACGATGACTACGAGCATGCGGATCACCCGCTTCTTTGCCATGAGGTTGGCTGCTGAGCTGCTGCTCCGCACGCGGCTGACCCTGCTTCCTGACAGCCGCTGAAGCTCCAGCTGCCTCAGGGACTTGGACCGCTGTAGGTAGCACCCATCATTGTCTTCAAACCGGCTGCTGCCGGTGCTAGATTTCCTTTCTGGAGAAGGGAGGAATGGAATGAGGGGCAAAGGACATTGCTTAGTGTTTGGGTTGGGGTAAGGGCAGACAGAAGCTCTGTCTACCTCTATCAACAGGGGCAACCAAACTGGAGGAGAATTGGACAGGTAACCCAGATATGATTAACTGCAGGAAGCCCTCACTTGGGGCATGCCTTCCCAGAATCCCGGAGGAGGCTTGGAACCAAACTGTTTAGGAGGGTACTTGAAAAAGTTCATGGAAAATGTAGAATCTGGGAAAAGTTAGCATGGATTCCAAAATAAACTTTAAATAATTTTATTGCCTGTACTTGAAAGGCAGAGAGGCTCAGAGGGAGGTGAGCAGACACAGACAGAGCTGTCATTTGTTGGCTCATTCCTTCCATGCTGGCAGTGGTCAGAGGCTGACCAGGCTGGATCAAGGTGCCAGGAGGAGCTCCATCTGGGTTTCCTTATGGGTGGCCAGGACCCTATTTCTTGGGCCACCACTGTTGGGATCAGGACTTGAACCCCAACATGCTAATGTGTGATGGGGATGGCCCAGTCAGCATCATAACTGCTGGGCCAAACGCCTACCACAGAAACTCTTCCCACAATTCCACTTTTCCATAATATTTATGAAGAGCCTCATGTTTCTTGGTGAAGGAGGAATATTCTTTCCCAAAAATACTGGGGACCAGAAGTGTTTCAGCTTTTAGAGTATTTATATGCCAGGTGATTAACCATAATCTGAGAACCAGAAATCCTAAATGCTCCGGAATCTGAATACAGCACTCAAAGCATCTCTCCTTTCAGACACTGCTCAGTTTGGATTCTCAGGCTAAGGTTGCTCGGTATATACATGCACACCTCTGATCACAGAGCTTAAGTTCTAGAATAGGCACAGTAAAGACTTCACAACAATAACTATCAAGAAAATAGAAGTAAAAATATATAGTATAATAAACATTACTTAAAACAGAACTCACTTATTTCTGAAATTTTCCATTTACTCTCTTCAGACTGTGTTTGACCTCACATAAATGAAACCATGGTGACTGAAGCTACCGATAAAGGAACGTGGCTGTGTGGACATCTGTTAGCCTACTCCGATGAAAAGCTATTTGAAAGGAATAAAAGCAGACACTACATATAGTACGGTGTCCCATAGCATCTTCCACTTGTAGATTACAGGGATAAAGAGAAAGAATGAAGATTCCCAAGCTTCGCCTGCCTCCCTGCTTGCTCAATGCTTTTAAGTACCTTTAGTGTAAGGAATCTGGATGACAAGGAGTCCAAGAACAGCAAGGCTGGAGAGTCTGAGTTATCTACACAGTAAGGCCTGATAAAGGGTGGGGCAAGGGAGGGGAGTTATGTCCACACAGGTGTGGGGTAAATGCTCATGGGGGGAGGGTGTGATGGGTGGAGGAGTGAGTTGTGTGGCCTGCCATAGTGTGAGCATGAAAGTGGGGAAAGGGGACTGGGATGAGGTGACAGCTCTGGGCTGTGGCAGGTGGCCGTCAATGTATTCTCTTCTAAGCCTTTGGGGATCCCAAGCAGGGTGCATGTGCAGGGGGCTTTGGTTGCTGAAGGCTGTCCCTTTGAACACAGCCTTGCAGAAGTCTGGCACTTGTGAGCCCTCAGCTGTGAACTGGGTTATAGGCGCTTCATCTCATTTGATTCCACCTAGGAGCCTTTGTGAAGCATTCATTCCCCATTTAATGATGAGAAAATAGGCAGCGTACGGGACTGGTTCTATGACACCCGAGTTTTCTGATATTGTCAGGACCTCGAGTGCACTACATAGACACTCGGGGTGTATTTATTTAAGTGATGGAAGCTTTCACATTCTTTGGCATCACAACATAGCTGAAAGAGAGTTACCTTTAGCAGATTTCTTCTGGCTAGCATCAAATTTTATTCCTTGGTAGAGTTCCAGGGAGATTAATCCATACGCCACCATCATCACAATTCCAGGAATAAGAAAGAGAATGAGTAGCAGGAACGTTTGCCTGATTGAATCAAAAGAAATCCAGTAACTGGTAACTGTGGCCCCTCAGACCCAAGTGGGAAGGAGCCAGCAGGTTCCTTCTTGGTTCTCATTGGGGTAAGCCAAACACATTAACTACTAGTATTTAATATCTTTGGCAGCTCCACGTCTGGGGTTTCAATTATTACAAGTTGTTTATGTCTGTTCTTTTTTTAGAGAAAGTCTCTTAGGGAGCACTGGTTATAACAAAAGCCTTCAAAAATGATTCCAAATATGTGAACTCTAATTCAATCCTGGTAATAATGGGAGCTTACATTCACTGAGGACTGGTTATTTGTACTCCACACCAGGCGAAGCATTTTGTGTATTTGCTAGATTTAACTCCTGTAATAACCTTGGGGATAGACACTGTTATGCCAAGACTTATTTTAGAGATGGGGAAACTGGGACTGAAAGAGAAGAAATCACTTGTCTGAAGTCACACAGGTTGGAATAGTGGAGGAATTCAACCCCAAGCAACATGATTCTAAAATCTGTGCTTGTCAACAACACAATGCATTACTTCTGGTGACCTTCATAATGAGAGAATAACCTGAGGTTTTGTTTGTATAATAGATGACATTCTGGCTCCATTTGGCTCATGAGCATCTCTAACATGCTCATAGGCATTCACTCTTCATGACCCTGGGCAGATGGCCTTATGGCAGGCTCACGTTGGTGCCTGGTGGGGTAGATCTATGCCTTCTCTAAGCACATTTGATTCCTTGGGCATCACCATCCCCTTCTTATAAGTGGCCCCATCCATCACATTTGCTGCCTGGTGTATGTAGGGTTATACAATGAGGCCATGAACTTGTCAGAGGCTCCTGGTAGTGGGACCATTTTTTGATGACATGTGTTTATAAGGTTCCTTTTCAAGTCTCAGAACTGTTCTTCTTGTTGGCACCTGATGCTTCCTGTATGTGTGCTGCTTGGTGGAAATGAAAGGATCAAGGCAAAGACAGCAGTTCCAAGCCCCCGTGTCTCAATGTCTGGTCCTCAGCTTCTAAGTTACCTGTGGTCAGTAAATAGAAACTTTGCATTTGTACTGCCACTTCAGAGTCACTCCCATATATGCACTCTCAGCTGAACCTCACCACCAGCCAGTGAGGCAGCCAAATGAAGCAACATTTGTGCATTATCTCCTTGGCAAGACAAAGCACCTGAAGTTTAGGGACGTTGTGTGAACGTACCCAAGGTTCTCCAGCCAGGAAGCCAAGGCATCAGCTGGACCATCTTGCCTTTTTATTTCTAGTAGAGTTCTACCACTGCAGCTCTGAGAAAACCTGCTTGGAACATGGGCCTCAATTTCTGCAATTTCTTCAATCCTACAATCACAGCTGTCCATGCCAGTCAGTATAAACCCCCTTAGACCACTTGGCTGCGCCCTGCATTGGGGCTAAGCACTGCTCCTTCCTAGGTGTGTGAGTTTGGGCAGCCTAACCTTCCCAAATCTCTATTTCCTTGTTTGTAAAATGGACATACATAGTACCTACCCTGCAGGATTGGGGGAAATCAATTGCATTAACATTGTTTAAAACAAAGCCCCCTGACTCAGTGTTTGCCATTGTTATTCCAGAACAAAGTTTGAATGATGCTTCTCCAAAAATTTTTGCGAAGCTGATCCCCAAACCCGCCCCTCCCCCCCCCCCCAGCAACTCTGGGCAAAGAAACCCAGCTTTTCATAACACTGCAGGACCAACTCAATGATACTTAACAAGAGAGATCAAGGCCATCCCATCTTACCAGGACTGCTGCATGACGTCACTTGGCAGTAGAAAGCGGCACATATTTGCGGTTTGGTTGTTATTTTTGGTGAAAGGTACCAGGTTGCTGTAGATGGGGTATGGAGTCATGATGGTGAAGGAGAGGCCCCAGGTGGCGGCAATCACCTTCAGGGCATGGGATTTCGTCTGCCAGACCCTGGACTGCAAGGGTCTGCAAATTGCGCCGTATCTCTCCAGCGATATGGCGACCAGATTAAAGGTGGATACACTCACAGAGGTGCCTGGAAAAGGAACAAAGAGGCTGCTGATGGTGGCTCCAAGACCTCAGGCTTATTTGCACATTAGTTTTAGTGTATCTGACCTCAGTGGGCTTGATAGCAGAGGGAATCGCTGACAGGTAGAGAAAGTGTGTGTGTTTTTTCAAAGATGATTTATTCCCAAGCTTTGTTCCAAAAAAGGATTTAACGCTGTTAAAGAAACGTGCTTGCAAATACATCTTCTTGCCAGTTTGGAGATAAGGTTATTGAGCTTTGATTACAGCCTAACTCCTGCTTAGCAGAGAGAGCTCATTAGTTCATAGTCAAAGGGAAGGAGTACATTACTACCCTGCAGCTGAGGGCTTGGAGAGACCAGAGAAAAGCTGGGTTTCCCCCATGGTTCTGCATGATGGAGTTGATCTTACAGAGACACGTTTCTCAAGGACTCTATCACCTTGAAAAGTGACTAGGGTCTGTGCTGGCATCCCTAAGATTCCTCGTAAGAAGTTCTAAGTGTGTGCTTTTTAAGTGCAAATCATCCCAAGTTTCAAAATGTACTAGTTGGAACACAAGGAAACCACATTTAAAAAAAGATGGCAGTGAGAAGGCCACACTGTGGCTACAGCTTTCTCTGGGTGGAGCTAGGATTTTCTTTATATCCATTCTGCCTTTCTATACTTTATAGAATAAGTATACATCACCATTACAGTGAGAAAGATATGGAATACACTACATTTAAAATGTGTGCTTGGGCATGGCCAAAAATGGTTGAATTTCCCTACTGTATACTTGTCTTATCTTTCCTTTAGAATCCTTCAGCCACACATTCTGTCAATTCATCTGTTTGCCTCTTTATTTTATCTTAAAGATTTATTTTTGTTGGAAAGTTAGATATACAGAGAGGAGGAGAGACAGAAAGATCTTCCATCCATTGATTCACTCCCCAAGTGGCCACAACAGCTGGAGCTGTACTGATCTGAAGTCAGGAGCCAGGAGCTTCTTCTAGGTTCCCCATATGGGTGCAGGGTCCCAAGGCTCTGGGTCATTCTTGATTGCTTTCCCAGGCCACAAGCAGGGAGCTGGATGGGAAATAGGACCACCAGGAAATGAACTGGTAACCATCTGGGATTCCAGGTGTGGCGAGGTCTTTAGCCACTAGGCCACCATGCCAAGCCTCTGTCTGCCTCTTTAAATGATTTATTGAACTTCCCAATTGATGTAGATTTGGGAGCAGAGGTTTAACTTGAGGTCTGTAGATCCTCATTATGCTTATGGGTAGAAATTAATTCTCCGAGGGTCATCACTGTAGTGTAGCAGGTGATGCTGGCAGCCCATACGGATGCCTGCTGGCACACTGGGATGCTGCCAGTCCATATGGATGCCTGTTGTACACTGGCTGCTCCACTTTTGACCCAGCTCTCTGTTAACACACCTTGGAAAAGCAGCGGAAGATGGTTAAAATGCACTTACCTAGGAGACCTGCCTCCTAGTTTTGGTGTGGTCCAATCCTATCCATTTTGGCCATCCGAGGAGTCAATCCACAAATGGAAGACCTCTTTCTATAGCCTCAGACTTACAAATGCTTTTTGAAGAAATCAATTCTCTAAAATCATGAACAAAAATGTGTTTTTTTTTTTCTTGGAAGTCTAACTATGACTTCTCTAGGTTTACTCTGGTCCATGACTCCAAACCCATTAACCAAAAATTGGAGTCTGGGATAGGATTCGCTGCATTTTCCTCTATTTTGCCTTAAAGAGTTGATGTGTTGAGGCTAGCTCCAAATTCCAGAGTTCATTCTGTGTAAACAGTCCATCATAAACTCACTGTCAGGCAAGCACTCTTTTTTATTTTTATTTGCGCTTCAAATTAGGAATTCAATGAATGTAAATTGCTTCTAACAATATTGAGAAGACCACAAAATTGCTATACCAGAATACCAGAATTGGAAATGCAATAAAATCATTAGGACATTACAAATACTCTTAGGATGATCCTGCTCTTCTTTTTTGATGCTAAAGTATATTTGCTGAGATGAAATTCCCATGAGACATAATTAACCATTTTCAAGTGATTTGTGCTGTGACACTCACCTAGCGCTTCTTTCTAGTCTTATGCCCCGTGCCCTGGGTGAGGCCCTCAGATGCTGTGATGGCGAGACACGCTTGGGGCCTGACAGCCAACAGCCCTGTGCAGTATCGCACATTATTGTCACTGTTTTCTCACAGTGATCCTTCTCATTGCTTAGCCTTTTTTTTTTTTTTAATTTTTCAGAGGAACCAGACTGTTCTCAGTCATGTGTGTGTGACATGGAGGTCAGTAATTTGTCATCATTTTGTCAGTGCTGGATCCTGCTTCCCCCATTGGGGGAAAATACAGGTCTTTAGAGCCTTCTAAAGACTGCTCTGGCCCAGATCAGCACTGCAGATCTTACACAACATGTGCCAGAACAAAAAGCAACTCCCCCTCTCCTTCCCTACCTGGTCCTTCCCTACCTGGTCCCAACTTGCTCCCAAGTTGGCTTCAGGATGGGTCAGTGCTGGGCTATCTGGCACACAGAGGAGACAGGCTTCAGAAATTTGTTTAGCATCAGGACAACCACAGTCAACCAGCTGGGCGACATGACCTCTGTTGGCGAGGCTGTGCCTCCTAACCTGGGTTCGAATCCTACCATGGTGGCTTAGTGTCTGTGTGTCTTGGGGCCCAGAATGAACCTGTTTGGGCCTCTGTGCTCTCTCTTTGGGTGAGATCAGGGAGAATGACTGTGTTTGTTTCTTGGGGTGCCTGGGAGATAAAGTGAAGCTGTGGAGATGAAAGCTCTCAGTGCAATGCTTGCTGTGTAAGAAGTTCTTGCAAACACCAGCTTTGTGCTGCTTATAGTTCCATTATTTTGACTGCTAGAGGCACAGGACTGCATAGCTCAGTCTGACAGGGTGCATGTAGTTAGCCCACAGCCCAAGGGACTCAATTTCTCTTCCTCTCTGTCTGAGATGGCCTCAACCTACAGGGTAGCTGTGAAGTGAGTCTGAAGAGGAGATCTCAGAGCTGTGGTGAAGCTGCTTTCCAAGCAACCCCGATCCCTCCAGCAAGAGCTCTTTGGTCTAGCATTTACATCTGCCCTGGAATACAGACCTGCTGACAGAGATAGGACACTTGGGAAACTTGGAGTCACATTTGAGTCTCCTCTCCAATAGGCAAGTCAGACTGCTCTAGGTTTTCCCATCAACTCTTTTGACTCTTAGAAACTGGCCTGGAAACCCTATGGCTAAGGACCCGGCTCCTGGGGCGGGAGAAGACTGAGCTACTTGCTAGAACACAGTCACACACAACCAGATGTTGGTCTTGTGACCCTAGATAGGGCTTCTCTGCAGTGCCTGGCAGAGAGCTGGTGTGTGTGTGGGGGTGGGGATCAAGAGCAGGTTCTGGGCATGGCACCTGCAGCAACTTACCCATCAGGTAGGTGGTGGTCTTGCATAGGGCACTCCCAAAGATGAAATCCTTGAGCAGGTTAGGGATGAGGTTGAAGGGCATACAGAAGAGGCACAGCATAAGGTCGCTGATCGCTAGGGAGAGCAGGAAGATGTTGGTGACGGTCCTCATTCTCTTGTTGCGAATCAGCACTGTGATGACCAGTGTGTTCCCCAGAACACTGAGCAGGAAGATGAGAGAGTACAGGAAGATCTGCACTGCTGGCTGCCACTCTGCAGAGAACCCAGGGCGAGGCGGGAGACCGGGGTTATGGCCACAGACCGGTAAAGCCTTCACACACCATGTGCCTGCTGAGTCCCTGCCAGCTTTGTCTTTCTTTCTTTCTTTCCTGGGGTGCACATGCATGTACCCATCTACTCCTGCCCTGACAACACCCACTGGGCCAACACAAGCACCCTTTTCCAGGGTCACTTAGGGAAGCACCTTGTAGGAACACAGCTTCCTGAGGAAAAGCTGGTCTGCATCTTGTCTTGCTGGGAAGTGTTATTTCGCCTGCAATGTGCTGGGTGTCACAGTAGACATGGGGCCAGCCCCTTCTCTGTGATGCTGTGGAGTTCAAGCCCCAGTGCTTGTCCTCCGCTCTTGTGCCCCTGGGCTTTCCCTCTCCCTGATTTAGTGCCCCTTCCATTTCCAGGTGCTGCCCATGATTCCCCAACTCTCCCAGCAGGAGAACAATCAGCGTGTTTAACTCCATTCTTCCTTTTGATCTTTTAGCCAAACTTCTGAGCCCATGCGTGACTCTAGCTAGGCAGCCTTGCCTCACAATGGCTTTGTTCTGTTGGCTTTATCAGCCCCTGCTGGATTCCTCCCGCAACTCCACAGTTTTTGGAAATCAAACAGCAGCTTCTGGCACCTACCTTTAGAAGGAGGGGGCTGATCAAGGCAGAAGAGCGTTTCATTGTCCAGCACGAGTTCGCAGGGAGGAGGGATGCCGCTTGAATTCACCAGGAGGCTGGCGACTGCGTCCATCCTCGCCTGGCGCTTCCCACCAAGTGCTGCCGGGCTCGGAAGCTGCTCCCTCCCGGCTCATTCCTCTAATGACCAGGAGTCTCTACTAGCGCAACCTGCCGCTGCTGCCTGCCGAGGGCCAGGGAGGGGGTACTTCCAGGTGTGGGCTTCTGCAGCCATTCCTAGAGGGATTTGAGCTCCCCTGCACTCAGTCCAGCTGGGCAAGCATGTGCGCTCCTGGGGAAGGGCATGAAGTGGGGGAAGGCAGTTGGTGCACACCCAGCCTGCTCCACCTTCCAGGCCCACCCCTCCCATTGCTGGGCCAATCTTGGGGCCCTGAGCGCAGACAGCCTGGCTGAAGCTTAACCCTTCACACACACACACACACACACACACACACACACACACACACATACACGCTACCCTGGTTCGTCTCTGGATGGGGAGCTGTCAAAATCCCAGACATATGCAGAACAAAGATCAAACTGGCTGTGTGAGACAGGCCCAATTAACAAGGTAACAGATCCAATAATGCAATCCAGCAGGACTAAAGGACACGGAGCAACTGCATTCCTACCTCCTTATAGAAAAGCAATTAGTGCCCTTTTAAGGTTGGAACCATGCCCAGCGAAATGTGTGCAAAGAACTGCTGGGAGGTTGTTAAGTCGTTACCAGCCATGGCATTACTTGTTGTGGTCTCTGCCCTTGTTAATCAGGAGGTAGCAGTTTGTGGGACAGGCTCCTGGATCCCTCTGACAAGGAAAGTTAGTAAGATTTCCCATGCATTCGTTTGTACATTCACGCAGCACATATCCTGAGAGGCACTCATGGGCCAGAGCCTCTTCTCGCCTGTCAACAGACATGGAGTTATAAGATGATTTGAGATGTGGTAAACATCAAGCAGGAAGGAAATCCGGCAGGCTGATGTGATGGGCAGGAATGGATGGTGTGGGGGCTAATTTAGACAAGCTAGCTTGGAAAGGCTTCCCAGGGGCATGGGCTGGGGTCTGAGAGCTGGGTGGCCAGGAGGAGGAAGCTTTGTGGCAATCTGGCAACAGCTGCTTTGGGGCAGATCTAGTTTCAGCAGAGGTCACACGAGAGCAAAGGCCCTGAGGTGGCAATGAGCTTGGCGTGCAGGAGTGAGGTGCAGATGACAGGAGGTGAGGTAGAGATCCGGACAGACCGTTGCAGGGAGAACCGGGCTTTCCAGGAACTCTGCAGTGCCTGCAAGTTCCTCACCACCCGGAGCCAGGGACGGGGAGGGGAGGCTCCTCGGTTCTGATGCTTGGAGAAGCAGAAGGCAGTGCCAGTATCCACATTTCTGACATGCCGCCAGGGTGAGCTGTGACTTGATCTGTCTTCTGGGCCCTTCTCAGCACTTGTATGTTTGTCCTTGATGAATCCTCAACCCCATTGCAGATGAACACGCAGGTGTTTTATCCACTGGGGTTTGGGGTGTGGATGTGGAGCTGGGCAGACAGGCTGGAATCTTATTTCTCTGAAGCAACAGACAGCTCATGTTTGGGACACTTTGAAAAGTGGAAGGATCTTGGGTAGTTCCTGGGAAGACATACTTTAGAACCAAATCCTGCCTCTCTTACCTTCTGGGAAAACACTGCAAACCTGGCGGGCTCTATCTATCACAGAGGGATCGAAATGACTCCACAGAAAATTATTTAAGATCAACTGACTGATTTTAGGCAGTGTGTGTCACACATACAGCGAGTGTGAACAAGTGTGACCTGCTGCTCACAGGTTAAACCTCTGCCTGCAGAGCTGGCATTTCATATGGACATCGGTTCGAGTCCTGGCTCTTCTATTTTCCATCTAGCTCCTTGCTAATAAGGAGTCTCTACCAACAGTGATTGCTTTCCTTTTACAAATGAGGAAACTTAACCTTTCTGAGGCTCAGTTTGCTCATCTGTAAAACGGGCATAAAATGATGCTACCCAGAAATGCAAGGGAGCCAGCAGTGCGTGTGCTGCTCCTCCCACCCCTACACTGGGAACTTACAACCCCCTTCTTCTCCCGCCTCCGTGGCTGGAATTTCCCTGCATGATTCTGACATTGCACAGAGGACCTCTTCAAGGCAGGGCTCCTGACACCATTCCTTCTGCCTGCCCACGTCCTCTTGGAGGACTCTTCCCTGCCTACACACGGATCCCCGGGGAGGAAGAACCCAGCGGCATCTGGACTTGGGTAAGACCGAGTATCTGGGTTCTGAGCTCAGCTGTGTCTCACCCCACTGTTGGTTCTGGGAGCTTGCATCTGCTGTGTTTGTGCTGAATGGCTTAAGCAGCAACTGGCTGCACAGCTGGTCGCAGAGGGCAAGGGCCGGGGCAGGTGGGACCGGCAGGAGAGCAGAGGGCTGCGTGCCAACCTGCTCTGAGCTGAGATTCAGCCCAGTGTGGGGCAATGCACCTCTACATAGTCTGTTCTCTCTGTTTGTTCTCCTGCTAGGGGATAGGAAATGAGTAGCAGTTGGGATGCATGTTCAACTGAATGAAGAAGGTGGGGCACACTGGCATGTTGGGCTTGCAAAGCCTTGGTATATATCTGAATGTCTAGGTTGGGGAAGCTCCGCTCCAGAAAACCAGATCCTTCAGCCCCCATCCTGGGACTCTGCATTTTCATCCAGCATTTGTGATTCCTGGGAAGCCATGTGGCACTTGTGCCTTCAGGATTGCCTGTGGGGAAGCTTCCTGGGAGTCGCCAAGCGCACAGGTAAGGCAAAGAGCAGGAATCAGAGCCTGGTCCTTACCACTGGCCAGGGGCACCTTTCCAAAACTCAGTTTACTCATCTGTAAAATGGGAAGAAAACAATCGCTTCTCGGCCTTTTGGCTAAGATCAAGTGTAAAATGGGAAGAAAACAGTGCTTTCTGGAACCAAAACAATACATGAAAAGAACTTAGAGCCATGTCTGTGGCGTAGTACCAGTTGCCATTCCTGGTGGGTAAGGTTTATCTGAGTGATGTGTTCTTAATCCACGTCATTGTGGCCAGGCCTTCCCAGTAACCTAGCACAGTGTCTGATGCTAACTGTAGGTGAGCAGAGTGAAAAAAATTCTGGGAGCCAGGATTTCACTGCTCATTGTGCCTTTGGTGACCCTTTTGTCTTGGTCCTTTCCCTGACCTGCTCTGGACATCCACTCTGTGTGAGCAGGGGTGACCGAGCACGCCAAGTAAAAAACAGAGCTGTGGTGGGAGATGTTCCCTAGAGTGAAAAGCTGATCCGAGTCTAGGCTGTCAGCTCTTGTTGCATTCCTCGGCAGGGTTAGATGCAGGTGTCATTCCAGGCCCCAGGGAGTGTTGTGGGTGACAGGGATCTCACGAGCCACGCGGATGGAATTCCTATCCCCTTTACAACAAGCTCTGGTGGGGTAAAAGCGAAGTAGCCGCTCCCCTGGGAGCCTTCTCAGCTGATTGGGCACAGATCCAGGTGAACTGGCCCAAAGGGACTAAACATGAGCTGGGATGGCTCCTGTGTCCCTTCACCCTGAGACATGTGGACTGGACAGGGCACAAATCCTGGTGCCTCCTGTCTGGTCCACCAGGCCTTCTGGCAGCCAGGCACTTTCTGCTCTTCCCAACACCGACCTGGAAAGGCAAGAGCCTGACAGAGCAGTGCAGGCGGGTTCCTGGAGAATGAAATGATAGGCTGCTTCTGAGAGAATGTGCCATCCTAAGGAACAACTGTCTTAAACCCTAACAAGCATTTCTGTGCATATTCCCATCATTGCTGCATTACTCCCAGGCTCATTAGCCCGTTTCTTTAAGACAAAGAAAAACAAAGCCTGAAGACTGGGACAGCACCAATAAATTTCAGGATCCTCTGTGACTTCCTCTCAGCAGGTGCCATTATCAGACATACTCGGGCCAGAAGCCAGGGTGTCGCTAACGGGTAATTGTCTGTTCTGGGCAGCCTGACATTTCTTAGGAGTCTCTGCTGTTCAGAACATTGCTCTTCCAATTCTGCATTCCAGCTCTCTCTCCACCCTCGCGCAGACAGCAGCCTCTTAGGGTCCCCTCCTCCCACCCCCCTCTCGACTGTCTCAGCCTCCTGCAAGTGATGTGCTAGGATCTCCAGCCTCCATTCCTCCCTGTGCACTGGCCTCGCTGGATGACTCTGGGAGCGTGGTTGCCAGGCTGCCTGTGGGCTACATGCAACCGTACTGCCCTGCAAAGCACAGAAGTGTACCTGCTCTGAGGTCCTCCCTCCTGGGCCACCCTTCTTGGAGATCTCCTAGTGGCTCCTTTCTGATGAAAAAATCTCCCTCTGCAATACCATAGATGGAAGGATCGTATCTGTGTGGCAAGGCTGCCCTGTAGTGAGCTGTAGCTTGACTTTGGCCAAACAGCTTTATCCCTGCATCTCCATGTTTCTACCTGCAAAATGTGTTCATGGTGATGACACTGGTCCTAGGGGTAGGGGTATCGTGCCTGTTGTAATGTGTAGAACGCCCCAGCAGATTGGCACAACAGCTCCCAACTGTACATCAATGCTGTGTACTGACAGGAACCTAGAGATCACCCCTGTGGTTCATGGCTTGTGGATGTTCTTTTCCTTTAAGTACACTGAAAACCATTCAGAATAATGTTCTCTGCATAGTAGTCTTCAAATTTTACAGATTTTAATTTTTCTTTACTTGAAAGGTAGATTTACAGTGCGAAGGAGAGATCTTCCATCTGCTGATTCACTCCCCCAAAGAGCTGCAACACCCGGAGTTGAGACAACATGCAATCAGGACCTAAGAGTGTTCTGTGTGTCTCCCATGTGGGTACAGGGGCCCAAGGATTTGAGCCATCCTCTGTTGCCTTCTCAGGTCATAAGCAGAGAGCTGAATCAGAAGTGAAGCAGCCGGGAGTCAAATCAGTGCCTATGGGATGCCGACACTGCAGCCTGAGGATTAGCTTGCTATGCCACTGTGCTGGTCCTAATTAATTTTCATATAAATTTCCCTCAAAGATGAGAAGTATGAATTTTGCAGCATTTGGGGATGGGGGCGTAAAAATGTGCTTTT